TGCAGTTATCAAAACTGCTTCATTTTCTTCGGATTTAAATCGCATCGAAGCTTTCTCAAGGAAGAATAGAACAAGACATAATAGTTTTAAACCAATGACAAAACCGCATGAAAAGTGTAAATATTGGTAAAAGATATTCAACGTAGTATTAGATGCCCCTTTATTGTCATGTTTTCATTAAATATATAAAGTATCTTATGCCAATTAACCAGCTATTGTAATTTTAGTTTTCATTTTTCTGACTAAAATGCAAACTATTGTGAGTATTTAAGCTGATATTTTTGGTTTTAAGAAAAAGAGTGTTTCTGGTATTTCCACGTTATGTTAGTTCTTGACAGCTGTAGCAGTTGCGATTATTTACTTTTCGATTCTCTCGTGAGCGATGCTTCAGTTTTGACGGACTGATAGAAATTTTGAGCCAGTTTCCAGTTTATTATTTAGTTATGTAGTCTTTGGTAACTGTTCAACGTTTAATTTAAATTTGACTGTTCTATTTATTTGCATCACCAAGACTTGTGGCTGTTTTAGCACCATAGCGTGCCCGTATGTTCCAAGTTCTATTTAAATATTATAACCTAATAGAGACATTAGGTTATTTCGAAGCCTGAGAGATGAAAAATGAGCAACGCCTTCGCCGGGAATAGAAACACGGACTTCTGGAATACGTGCCCAGCGTGCAGACCACTACACTACGAAGGCATAACCTATTCTATACCTAAAATGAACATGGCAAGTAGCTACAAACTACCAATAAATTCTGTTAGAAATCTTACTATTCCTTTTTTTAAAGGTAATAAAATAGCTCAAAATATTCAAATCATCTTTGATGCATAAGTTTAATATATTTGATATATTAAACGACGCAAAATGCGTACAATGTTAAAATGTACTGAGGTCTGGACCACATTTTAAGCTAACAGCAAGGAATTGTAGATTTATCCTGCGAAAAACCAAACACGTCTCAAACATTAGTACTGTGAAACTTACAGCGGATTTAGAAGAACGACTCGCAATAAAATGTATCCCTGAAACCGATAGAAGGGTCATTAAGAAGGCGAGAGAAATACTTTATATACACCCCCTTTTAAAGGGCGAAAGGGTTTTTTAGGGGATCCAATCGCCAAATCCTGGATGCGGAGAATCATCACCCACCACCCTTTTACTTCGGGCGCCATTGTAGAGACATTAGGTATATTTTTGGAAGCAGGAGAAGTTATAAATGAGCAAAGCCTTCGTCGGGAATCAAACCAACCCGCCCAGAGTGCAGACCACCACACCACGAAGGCACGCCAAGAAGGCAGGAGAAATACCTTATAACCTTCTTAAGACTTTGTCGTTTATCTCAGATATAGCGAAACCTCGTTTCACGTCTGTTAGGTCTATAAGTGTAAAGTATGTTTATCAGTTTAAGACTGATAAATTCTGGAGTTCGTTTTCAGAATTTTTTAAATAAACTTTTTTTTTTTTTTTTTTTTTTTTTTTTTTTTTCTTTTTACCAAAAACGTTTCGAATAGCTATTTCTAAAACAAATAAAAATTTTAAATAGAAGGCCGATCTTACACATGAAAGGAAAGCATTTAATGTGACAAATGATTTCGCTAATATATAGTAACTGCTATTTACAAATGAAACTGGAAAGTACAAGTGTCTGAAAACAAATGTGGCCCACTATAAATGTTCATTTTACGTTTTCGCCATTAATTAAATCTTACAAGTATGTTCAATGAGAATATTCAGATGCTATCGCAGAATAGTTACGTCATTAAAGGACTAACTCTGCTAACATCAAAGCAGAAACTAAAGCTGTAATCTAATATTAAATGGCCTATACAAACGGGTCGAAAAATTAACAACGGAGTCAGGAGTTACCATATTATTCTAATTTCAAAATATGAAGAAGAAATTTGGAAAGGCCACCTGCATATAACAGCGTTTTCCAGGCTGAGCTGACAGCATTAATACGAGCAATTATTTGTGCAACACATCGAAACATCAACCTAATTATCATTTTTTTCGAACAGTGAGGCAGCATTTCCGGCCATTGACGATTACAGAAATAAATCATCAGTTTTAAAAGTGATTTACGATTTAGCACTAGAAACCAACAGTACTAAAATAGTAATAAAATGGATAAATGCTTATGCTCTTCAAGCGTATAATGTAAACGCAGATACTCTTACCAAAGCAGCAGCACAAAATGAATCACTACCTGCACTAGAAATACTACTCCAGGTACACATACCAAGAACCAACTGAAAAACGAAAACTTTAAAGCTGGAAAAATGAACGGATTGAAGCAGAAGAAGATAGAAGAGTATATGAAATACCTAAATCCCACCCACGTATGACCACATGTAACACAATTTCTTGATGAAGCTATCCATAACGGAACCTGGCTCCTTTTCCACATACCATTTTGTTTGAAATCTTAGCGGAAAAGATATATGAATATGTAGGAAAAGGGGCTATCTCGAGCATTATATATTTGTCAGCTCACGGCTTTAGTCGCATGCAAGATGCCTCGCAGTTCAGAGCTCTCTGATTTCGAGAAAAATATAATTATAGGGTATCACAAATGTAGCCGATCCTTAAGGGCCATAGCTAGTGATCTGAAGTACCCAAAATCCACAGTGGCCTATGTGATTAAGAAATGGAAGGTGAGCGGTGATTGTTGAAATGTGCCTCAAGTCGGCAGACCGACAAAACTGGGAGATAGAGACCAACGAGTGCTGTCCAGAGAAATTCGGAACAACCGAAACCAACCGATGGCCCTCATCCGCGAGGAATTTCAACAGACATCCGGGAGTATTGTTTCAATTAATACCATCCGTAAGAAAGCACATCTGCTTGGTTTTCATGGTCGTGCTGCTGCCCATAAGCATTTGATCACAAAGTCCAACCGCGCTGTTCGGTTAATGTGGTGCAAAGCACATCGAAATTGGACCGTAGATCAGTGGAAACGGGTTCTTTGGAGTGACGAATCAAGGTTCACTCTTTAGACGTCGGACCCAGACCCTGCCATCGTTCGGATGGCAGGGTCTGGGTCCGACGTCTACCTGGAGGACGTCTCCTGCCAGAATGCATTGTGCCAACAGTCAAGTTCGGCGGAGGTGGAATTATGGTCTGGGGGTGTTTCTCCTGGTATGGGTTGGGACCCTTGGTCCCCATTCATGGTAAACTCAACTCCGATGCCTACTGCACTATTTTGGATGACAATGTGCTTCCTACGTTGTGACAGTTTTACGGGTTGGACCCCTGTTACTGTCAGGACGACAATGCCACTTGTCATGTTTCGATGTTAACCAAGGCTTGGTATGGTGCCAATGGAGTTCATCGAATGGACTGGCCTGCTCAGAATCCAGACCTGAACCCTATCGAGAACCTTTGGGACGAGTTGCATCGCCGAATTCAGGGGTGTACTACCCGTGCAAAAGCAGTGAAGGAACTTCTATGTCTTCTCCAAGCCGAGTGGAAGCAAATACCACTAGCTGTCATACAAAGAGTTCTGGAAAGTATACCCCAGAGGGTCCACGCTGTAATTACCTCTCGTGGAGGCTCTACCAACTATTGATTTTGAATAAAGTTAGTTTGTCTTTTCTATCACAGGTGTCCAAATACTTATTGGTAGTCAGTGTATAAAGAGTCGCAGAATGCGTGACGGAGACCGGGAACATGGAGGGGCCGCTCAGTAGGGGAAAGGTGAGAACGCTTACACGTTGTGTAGTGGATTCCTCGCTGAGCTAGTTCGCAAGACGGGGAGCAGTATGCTCCGTGATGGATGTTGTGCTAGAACAGTATTGCGACGCAACAACGCCTTTAAATGCATAGGTGAATATCTACCAGATCTTCCGTTTTGTTACAGAGACATACCGTCTAGTGCCTGTCCTAACAATACTGAAGAAAATTTACTGATTTATTGCAGCTGCTTTTAGAATTTACATGAAGAATTTTCTGATCTGGTATTCCGTCTTGAGTATTTTTTATGTAATTTGTTCTAAAACAAACATGATTTACATTCGGATCTCTTGAGTAATTAGATCTGTGAATTCGGTACTTAAATGAATTCAGGTGTTTTTTTCATAACGAAAAAGTATGATTTTTTACGTTTTTAAACAATATTTTCATAGATAAAGATTAGTCTGTGAATTATAAATTTAAAGCATGCTTCTTACCGCATCACTCACCATGAATTAACGTCTTTATCTTGTTTTAATTCCAAATGCAACATTAGTCAAGTCAATTTTAGCATGAATAAATAAGCAAAGATATTTTGTTTAAGATGTTTTACAATTCAAAAGTTTTAATGAGCATTACTCTCCTACCCAAAGATTTTTCTTTGAAAACAAAGTTAAATAATTGTATAGGATGCCATTCCCTAACATAGCAAAGAGAAATTTTTATTTTTATGAAACAAAGAGATAACGCCTTGTATGGTTTCTTATCATAAATTAAGCTCGGTGTAAGAAGACTGTTTAGAGAATAATTCCGCAGTCTTCAAGTACGACAAAGTCCGGGAAAGGGTGTAAAGAACCCTTTATTAATTCAAATAAAGTTCATATATGACACCACTGCTGCTTACAGAAGCCAGCACTTTTGGCTTAATTCAAAAAACAATGAATAACTTAAAATCAAATAAATTTAAATTAGCCTGCCGACATCGCAGGATTAAATATCCCGCAAGCTGTCTCTGACTCGAAAATTGGGCGTGAGCAAGCCTTATGGCAAGAAAGAACGCCACAGAAATCTATCCCTTTAGAAAATCAAGGACAGCAACGAGGCCTTCAGGTAGGCAGAACACGTTCTGGTTTGACCTGGCTTTAGATTAAAAAAAACACTATTTGAACCGGCCAGACGGTATAGAGGTTAGGGGAACCTACTGCGTTACCTAAAATCCTGGGTTTAATCCCGGAGAAGGCATGGATGTTTCTAAATGTCTAGTGTCTTTGCTGCATAGGAGCACTCTAAATATATGGCGAGTCTAAAGTCTTCTCGATAGGTTGATGGTAGGGGAAAGTGGTGGAGATCCTCGGAACCGTCCCCCTGGTCTCTTCACCATCAAAATTGGGGACGAACTGAGCGAAGTTGTACTGTCATCTGTATGGTGCTCAAAACTCTTGCCAAGGACATGCGCAATCTTGCTCTCCTTCCCAATTTCGTGGACTTGTTGTGACGTCACTGTCAGACAAGTGAGATAAGTCACAACAACAAACTATCTGAAACTTACGCTTTTACAAGTTATGATTTTGGGCTAATATATTTGTACGAGTAAAGTTTATATTGTTATTAAAATTTTCCACAATCTAACAATATTTTTAAATTCATATCTTCGTAAAATTTATGTTGTTCATTTAAGAAACTACTTTTCCTGGCCTTTCTATTAAATTTTTCCCTAATTGTATTAACACGGTAGAAAATACAATATCATAAAGCTTTGAGCTGTTGAGCTAATTAAAATATGTATATATGCATTTTTAAAGAAGCGATGAAAGGAAAAATACGTGCATGATACACCAAGATAAATCAATGTTCATACTAACAATGTACATTTTAATTTTCTATGTTGTGTAATCAATCATACTTCTGTCAGTAAAAATTACTTTACGGAAGAAGAAAACATTTTCATGTAAAAACATCCTTTTTTCCTCTTCAGAATGTCATTTTCTTTTCGGATGACGTATTTTCTATTATCATGAAAATGGATAAATCAAAGTATACCATAAAAAAATTCATTTGTATGCGTCTAATAAGAAGCTGTAGAAGCCATTATTATACCTATAATACATCTTTATTTCTGTGACCGTGCACAATGTATTTTAGTATATCTTTTTATTTCGTTTTTGTCTTAATATTGTTTGTAACACCCGAGTTTTGTAACAGTTTTAAATATTATTGAAATCTTGTAGTTTAAATAATTTAAATAGATGAACATTAAGGTATTTATGAATGGCAATATCTGAAACCAGGCTCGAGTGCCACGTGCGACTTTCGCACGAATAACGTAATTTATTTTTTTAATGTTAGAATTCTTTTTTTCAGAAAGCAAAATCTGGCAGTTTGGTAGAAATAGAATATCAGGTGCGTTTTTCTTATAACTTTAAGTTTGCAGTATGACAATGATGTAACCGTGCGCTCGGAACAGTGGTTCTTGAAAAATTTGTCACCACATGAATGCATTAATTCCTCCCCGGCAAACTGAGAGGTTCTAATTTAGGCGATATATCAGTATTTCACGATAATGTAGTTGACAGTCGATATGATGGTTAAAATGCGGTTTAGCCCACTGCTTGGTGATTGTTTTTCAATGGGCAATAAATGCGCCAACATGGCTAACCCAATGTTTTGAAGCTGTGTTGTTACTATGTTGCCACTAAATGTTATCGCCCTGTGTTATATTTAAAGAAATTAAATTTTGAAAAATCTGCAAAAATGTTTCTCGCATTGTGATAAAACAACGGTACCTAGAGCCATCAAATTTTGAATAACATACATTTCCAACCTAATATGGGTATCTGGAAGCCCAAACTTGGAATTCTTTTTATTATCTGATTGATATTTTGTAAAACTTAACGAATTTTTCATTAGCAAACTCAAAGATTTCAAAGCGAGCAATGGCAACACAGTACGGGAAAAAAAAAACATTTTTACGTGCAGAGTGCAAAACTGTGTATCGGAAATTCTAAAGATATGCTCATTTTAAAATTATATTGCGGTTGAACTGAATTTTATGGTTTAAGTGTAAAGAACATTATATTTGATAAAGAAAGGTAACACACAAAACGTTAAAAAAAAAGGCCCTTTGGGCGCAATGTAAAATCTGAAAGCTTTGTATGGTTCGTTTTAAAGTTGCTTATTTTTAATATTTTGTATTTCTTTTTGGCTCAATCCTAGAAGATTGGAAAAGCTGACGTTTTGCTATTCTCTGATTTTTTTTAATGAAAATAGATTGATATGTACATGGGCAAAGCCAATGCAGTGCGCAATGCCGAATTTGTGCGTGATGCCGAGCATGTGCAATTCTGAGATGTTTTTTTAAAGTGAAAATAGATCGATTTGCACATGGGCAAAGCCAATGTGGTGCGCAATGCCGAGGATGTGCGCGATTCTGAGTTTGTGCAATTCTGGGATGTTTTTTAAGTGAAAATAGATCGATGTGCACATGGGCAAAGCCAATGTAGTCGCAATGCCGAGGTTGTGCGTGATGCCGAGTTTGTGTAATTCTGGGATGTTTTTTTAAGTGAAAATAGATCGATGTGCACATGGGCAAAGCCAATCTGGTGCGCAATGCCGAGTTTGTGCAATTCTGGGATGTTTTTTAAAGTGAAAATACATTGTTGTGCACATGGGCAAAGCCAGTGTAGTGCGCAATGCAGAGGTTGTGCACGATGCCAAGTTTGTGCAATTCTGGGATGTTTTTTTAAGTGAAAATAGATGTGCACATGGGCAAAGCCAATGTGGTGCGCAATGCCGAAGTTGTGCGTGATGCCGAGTTTGTGCAATTCTGGGATGTTTTTTTAAGTGAAAATAGATTGATGTGCACATGGGCAAAGCCAATATAGTGCGCGGTGCCGAAGTTGTGTGCGATGCCGAGTTTGTGCAATTCTGGGTTGTTTTTTTAAGTGAAAATAGATTGATGTGCACATGGGCAAAGCCAATATAGTGAGCGGTGCCGAGTTTGTGTAATTCTGGGATGTTTTTTTTAAGTGAAAATAGATCGATGTGCACATGGGGAGAGTCAATGTGGTGCACGATGCTGAGTTTGTGCAATTCTGGGATTTTTTAAAGTGAAAATAGATCGTTGTGCACATGGGCAAAGCCAATGTAGTGCACAATGCCGAAGTTGTGCGTGATGCAGAGTTTGTGCAATTCTGGGATGTTTTTTTAAATGAAAATAGTTTAATGTGTACATGGGCAAAGCCAATGTGGTGCGCAATGCCGAGTTTGTGCAATTCTGGGATGTTTTTTAAGTGAAAATAGATCGATGTGCACATGGGCAAAGCCATTGTGTTGCGCGATGCCAAGTTTGTGCAATTCTGGGATTTTTTTTAAGTGAAAATAGATCGATGTGCACATGGGCAAAGCCAATGTAGTGTGCAATGCCAAGTTTGTGCAATTCTGGGATGTTTTTTTAAGGGAAAATAGATCGATGTGTACATGGGAAAAGCCAATGTAGCGCGCAATGCCGAGTTTGTGCAATTCCCTAATGTTTTCTAAGTAAAAATAGATCGACTTGCACATGGACAAAGCCAAGGCAGTGCGCAGTGCCAAGTTTGTGTAATTATCTGAATTTTTTAATCTTATTTAATTGACTTCAAATTGTATAGCAGCTTTTCTATTCACTGTTTCTGGTATGCATAGTGACTGATATCTCTTTAAGAAAATATGTATGCACGCAAATAAATTTTAACAAATGAATCCTTCGCATGAATCATGCATTTTGCGAGAAATAAACTTCCATGTTTGAATGAAAATGTAAATTTCTACGAGGTTTAAACCTCTCGCATTTGTTGTGAATTATTCATAGCGTTTAAGCGAAACTAATGGTATTTTGTGTTTTAAACTTAAATTTCAGTTTTTATTTTGTCTTTTAATTTCATTATATTTGTTGTCTTTTTTTAATTTCCTATTGTTGACAATATTACTTATCGTAGCTTTAGATATCGAAAAGCCATGGCTTTCACAGCGTTTTTTAATAACTAGATACAAATAAATTTCTTCGGAGAAGGCACAAATGTCCGAAGACAAATTGTCAAGTAGCAGACGATAATTTATGCTTTCAAAAATATATACTTGCAGTTAAAAAGAATTTCCAAGCAGACGATTTCTTTTGGAATTTTTACTTCGTAATTTGAGCAGTTAATTCAGTTGCCGTTTGAATGTTCTTATTTGGTAGTTATCAATCGAGTGGTTTTATCTGTGTGTTTTTAACATTTTTCTGCATATATTTCATTAAATAACAGTCACTATGGATTTATCTGTGATGCTGAGAGAGGTGAGTGATTGTACATGTAAATTTATTACTTTATTGGAAGTGCAAGGGAAACGTGCCGTCATTGAATAGTGTATGAAAGTTGGTTTGATTGCTACTTTTTTTGTTTGTTCGAAATGTGGTAAAAATATGCGTTTTTGTGAGAGAAAGGGAAGTATAGATGGATTTGAATGGCGATGTAGAAAGCAAGGAAAAGTGAATGCGCATGATGTTTGTAGGAGTATAAGGAAAGGTTCATGGTTTAGTCATAGCCATTTGAGTATGTGTGATATTTTGAGAATTACGAGGTGTTGGTTTTTGAAAATGGGAAATGAATTTGTGACTCAAGAAGTGAAAGTGCATGAACATGCTGTTGTTGATTGGTTTATGTTTTGCAGAGAAGTGTGTATGACGACTGTGATAAATGATAGTGTTCCAATTGGTGGTGAAGGAGTAATAGTTGAAGTGGATGAGAGCAAATTCGGGAAAATGAAGTATGGAAGAGGAAAGCCTGTGGACGGTCATTGGGTAATTGGTTGGATAGAGAGAGAAACGAACAGATGTCTTTTTAGAGAGTTTGAGAATAGATCAAAGGAGAGTTTGGAGAGAGTGATAGTTGAATGGGTGTTGCCGGGATCAACTGTGGTTTCAGACTGCTGGAAGGCATATGGTGGACTAAAAAATTTAGGTTATGGCCATCTGACTGTCAACCACAGTCTGTACTTCCGTGATCCCGAGTCGGGTGCGCACACTAATTCCATAGAAGGTACCTGGTCTGGAATCAAACGTGATTTACGTCGAAATACAAACCACGTAGATGGCGAATTTGATTCATATTTAGCGGAATATATGTGGCGAAAATGGCACAACCACTCACTAAGTGATGAACATTATCGTGCCTTTTTAGCGGCAATCATAAAGATTTATCTGCCGGAAAGAGCCGATAAAACTGGGTAAATTTTCTTAAAGATGGGGTTTAGGAAGGTTCCCGCCCCCCGACATAAATGAAAAAAAAAAAAAAAAAAAAAAAAAAACCCTCAAAAAGACTTTTTATTTTCCTGAAAAGGGTAAGTGAAAATATTTTTTCTTTTTAAAATTGCTTTTTTCTAATATTTTCTTATTTTCTTTCACTGTGAGAAATTAGATTTTTTAAATTTATTAATGTGTAGAATTCTAATACGAGAGTATAGAATGTGGTTTAGGAACTTAAAAAACAGGGAAATGAAAGCTGTGTATGATGTTGATATTCAATCATAAATATTTTTCTTTTTTTATTAATGTAAAGCTTAAAAATGTTTAGAAAATAATGAAGATTGTTTACTTACTAGTATGTAAGAGATAGTGTCGTTATGTAGCAATAAGGTAATTTTGTAAAGATGATAAGTTAAAATGTTCCGCAATATGAAATTAAAATTAAAAAAATCTGTTTTTATTTGTATAAATACTAAATCTTAAAAATATTCAACCTGTATGAGAGACTGTGACGTTGTTTACAGTTTTAATAATTGTTACAATTCACTTACCGTATTATAGTAGTTTGAAATACAAAAAATTTAGTATACTTATTTCTACATCATTAGAGAATACGTTGTGACGTCACAATCTTAGTCCCACCCATTTATGAACGTCACATAGCTCCGCCTTCGCAACTTTGTTTATGCAACGTATTCTGATATTTTACTGGCGATTTTCAAAAAATCGCCGCTACTGAAAATCACCAAGCAGGGGCCTAAAGCACATTTTCACCGATATGATGCAAACTAAAAAAATTATGGGCCATGGAAAAATTACCTGGTAAAATCCTAGTATACGGTGCAGCCTTGGCACGATTTTTGAAAATTATCGCCAACACCGAAAATGATCCAAAAAATGTCTCTCTCTCTCTATATGTATATACTATACACTATATACTATGTGTGTATATACATATTATATACACCATATACATAGTATCTTAGTATATACTATGTATAACTATATATATTCTTTGAATTGACCCATTTACTACTCATCGTATATGTCCCGTTTTTACTGCTCATCATAAAGTCGCCAAAAGTAGCCAAATCTTGTGTGCACCGGATACTAGGATTAAACTAATTACTCTTTTACT